GCAAGACCGTGGGAGTGGAGGAGGTGGAAGGTAGCTCCAAAGGGGCCAAAAGAGCTCGAGGGAGGAGAGTTTAGAGGCATCGCGTTCTGAAAATAGAGAGCTCGCTGCCTTACACCCTCCTTTGTAGAGCACCAAGCCCCGTCAGTAAAAAGCGCTACGTGAAAGCCAGGCGTTAACTCTCTTGTTCTGCTCCAGCCTAATAAGTAGAAAGTCAATGCCATTGTTTTAGATCTAAGCAAAAAAATACTTTGAAACCTCAAAAATTAGGGTTTTTTGAAGCAATTATCTCCCTCCTCCGTCTCCAAGACTAAAGAAACGCAGGCCAATTATTTCTTTGAAGGCTAAATATTTACCCCTAGATGAAGTGCAGCAGCTCAGGCTGGAGGTGAATTACCCGCCTCTGATGTCATCCAACGCCTGCAAGTCAGAAAACCCAAACCAAAACAGGTACGAGCAAACAACAACAACAACAAAGGGTGTTTTCTCCTGGAAGAGCTCTTCAGAGAGGGCAAAGGGATGAAGTTGTTTCAGCTCACCTGAGCTGTGTCCGAGGCATTTAGAGAGGCCCTGGCACCACACTCCTGGTCCCTTTGGGTAGCCCTACGCAGGTCTCATTAGATAAGATACCCACGCTTAACGAGGGCACGAGCAGAGCGTGACCAAACCTCTCCGAGCAAGAACTGGTCTTGAGGAAAAGCGTCGTCTTTTTCCTGGAGCAAGACCTACCCCTACAGAGTCCGTAAGGCCAGGTGTGGGAACTCCTCCTCAACCTCCACATCAATTAGACTGCACACAGAGCATTAATCAATCAACACCAGTTCTTTTTATGTTTTTAGAAAAAAAAAATAAAGGCTCCTGCCTTTATATCTGACCGCCAAGTTTCAAAGCTCTCTGCTTTTGCCCCCTCCAGTCACTATTCTTTCCCAGGCAGCGAGTGCCAACCCTCTGGTTAAGGGCACCTTAAAAAAAAAGAAAACAAAAAGGAAAAAAATAAAAAGCAGCTATGTGTAAGAAACCACCACCGGCACAAGCGCGGCGTGACTCATCTCCTCTGAAGACGGAGGAACAAGAGCGCTCTCTGTTCGCCGAGACTGCCTGAAGTTTCAGTTGCGATCCCATCTCGCTACCCGCGCTCATGACAGCATGCAGAAATATTTCCTCGGGGGATCTTCCCGTGGGACTTAACTCTGACACATATTCCCACAGGACCCGTTCTTTTAAAAAGTGTGATTTGTTAGTAAGGCAGTGGGAATCTGACTTTGCGAAATACCAAGAGAGTGACTGAGCGGAGCCCAGTGCCGGCGGCCGGGCTCGTTAACTCCGCGGCGAGTCGCGCCCCACATTCAGTGCGACGGAAGAACTTGCTGGGCTGCAAGAATAGATGTGCCGGGTCAGAGCAGAGGTCTGCAACACCCAGTATCCTGTTTGTGCTACCCCTGCCCTCTTCTCCACCCAGGAGCAGAGGGAAGGAGGAAGAGCAAGAGCTGGTTTCCACAGAGGTGTACGCTGTCGGGTGTTTTCTTCCTGTTTTGAGCCCACGGCTGCTTAATTCTCACCTGTGTGCATCATTCGGTGGACGCGCACACGCAAAAATCAAACTGAAACACTAAGAGCTGTATAGCCTGGTATCCAGTGAGTGGTCATTGAGCATGAAGTTACACATTAACATTTCCAATGTCCAATTTCCAGATAAAACCACTGCGCAGAAACATCTGGAGTTCGGAGGACTTCACATAACAAAAAGTGTCAGGCAAGAAAACGTGACTTTAACCGGTAACTGAGTAACCCACGCACGATATTCAGAGCACGCGAAACAGGGTCAGAGTCTGCATCCAGGCAGACAAGTCAGCAAGCAGTGCCTGGTGGATGCTGCAATCCTTTTCTTGTTCGTACTCTTTAAATGCAAAGTTTTTGCTGAAGCTGCGAGCTTAATGCTGACTTCCCCCTCCCCAGCCGAGAGCTTCCCCCGGCTCTGTTTTTGCCAAAGTTATTTCAGTCAAATTCAGAAATACATGGAAAACAAGCGCGTCGCGTGTGACAATTTGGAGTACAAGAACCAGTGTGGGAAATCATCTGTGGCATTTTCCTGCCCTGCTCAGAGCGTGGGGAACGGCAGGACCGTACCTGTTTTCCCACGTCCCACGCTCCCCCGGCTGCCATGGGTAAGCCCGCACGGGCACGTCTCCTCCACTCCTCAAAATACCTGAAGTGGCAGCTATCGATGTTATTAAAAAAAAAAATTTCACCTCTGGGACAACAATTCTTACTGATACAGGTCCTTGTGACCACAGGGAAGCGTCACTCGTCCGACAAACCAGCACTGAGCAGCGGATCCAAATGGAGAAACAACCCAGCGCAGCGAGCACGAGAACACGCACGTTCTGCAGCAACTCCCTCCCAAACCATCCAGATAATGCCACAAACACATGAGGGGAAATGAAGAATCAGGGCAGCCAGCCCTTGGGGACGAGGTGAGTTTGGATCGAGCGGCGGGGGGCGCGGGCACCAACTTCGCA